CTTAGTCGAACTGAACATTTAACTATCATTTCTTGGGTGATAAATTTGCAGAGTATAAAGTGTTTACATGAAACAAGATCATAGGAAATGTCTTTTGTCTCAGGACTTTCCCCAGAGACTTCACTTTAATCAAAAACGAAATCTCGCAAAGTTGCATGGACACATTTCTTCTGCGCAAGCAAGGAGCAAGACGTTTAGTCCGTAGCCGAACTGATAATCACGTTGTTAAAACACTTTTTTGCGATTTTGTTCATAATAAATAATGGTAAATAATTTACTCGTAAAGTTTTTTTCAGGAAACCAAGATTGTCCTAGACAAATGTCGCTTTTGAAGGATGAGACAAAAGATTCCATATTTCCGAAAATTGCCCCAAAAATTGCAGCAAAAACCGCCGCAAAAATCGCCAGTGTAAACGGGGCTTTAGTGTTGTCAGTRAAAATCCGATTTGCCATTTCGAAGCAGTTGACGATGTCAATGAGAAACGCCTATTTGTTTTACGAATCCAGTGCGACAACTTTTTTGTGGAACCAGAAAAGGTATGAATGAATTTTCTCAGCTTTGTAACTGAGTGAGGTATAAGAAACACTGTTTATGAAATAATTTTCAACAGGAACAACGAGCTATCGCATAGTCACATCAACGGTACACGTTTCTTGATAATGCTTTTCATGGAATCATGCAGTTCTCGGCCAAGGTCTCAATTATTTTTTGTTCATTTTTTATGTATCTTCAAGTATTTTTTCATTTTCTTTTTTTCTTCCAGCTTCGTGAAGAACAGATCTTCCTTCATCCAGCATCTAGTAAGACGACACCAGTTCAAACAAGACCGCTCTATATAGTATAACTTCTTCTCTCACTTACTAACAATAAAGGGAAAAATTGATGTTTCCTCGCCATCGTAAGAAGGAGTCAGAGACGAAACAAGCTTTTGAAATCTTGGATCTTTGTTCACGTTAAAGGCTTTTCGTCTTCGCTTTTTATAAATTTTTGGCATTTTTTTAGTTCCAAAGTCTATCCTGTCGGGGCTCCGTGTGTTGSTTTGGTTTAGGCTTGGTTTGTCTACTAAAAGAGGCAAAAAACTTTCGTKTTTAATTGATTTTGGGTCAAGCTGTTGTTTCTGGTCAGTCTTAGGAGTTTTAATCTTCGCTTGCGATTGCACTCTTTTTAACCTTTGGTCTTTACTGCGCTGCTCTCTATAGTGCTTTAAAAATGAACGTAAAGTGKCATGTGGTTGAACGGCTGCATTTGTTTCTGAACGACAATCCTCATGAGACTCAGATTGTRTCGTAGGAGTTTCAGTTGCATTTGCTTTTGTGTTTTCTCGTATTAAGAACTCGTTTARTTTTGAAGATTCTTGTGATGGTTTTCGTTGTAGACTTGTTTGAATCAATAATTCAGTAACTACAGACAAACGCCGACTCGATACCATCTCAGAAGACACGCTCGTGCCATCATCGTCTTCTTCACAAATTACAGCACACGCTGTGAATTTTTGTTCCAAGTCCTTTTTCGTCTCTTTTGATACTTCTTTATCAATTTTATTCTGAACTTTCTTCTTCTCTTTGGCCTTGCTTTTAGCCTTTTTTGGCTTATTTTTCCTAAGATGCATAGGAAGTAGAGCATCAAGAATTTCTTCGTCCTTTGATGAGTCATTATATGTGCTGTAGTCAACTGCGTGTGAATCATATATCTTCAGTTTCTTGTCTGTCAGTAATGCCAGCCTTTCTTCATTTTCTTCGGCTCTCTCCTTTATCACACCAAGACCCGGTTTCCTGGACGTYGTCGAGCATTCTGACTTGGTTTTTCTATGAACTTTTTGGTTTKGTTCCTTCACCTGTGTCCTCGTCATCTCTTGTCTTTCCTCTTGTTTTTCGTTTTGTAACTTAGTGTTTTCTTAACTGTTTAATCATAGCTCTTCAGTTAATAAAGCTTAATTACTTATAGTCTTGTGGTAACTAATGGAAATGATACTCAATTCGGGTCGCTGTAACTCAYCGTTCTTCCGCCGCAATGTTGGTCTTCAAAACAATCCCACATCGACTACCGCCAAAACGTTCCTAGTCATTTTATTCACATCTTATGCAGATTTCCTCACGAGTATTATTGAATCTTTCAAGAGCAAATTAGCATTTCATGACTTTCTTTGTGCTGTAAGCAACCTTATTATCAAGCTCTCTATTGTGAACGGCTGTTCTGCCCTGTTGCTTTTTCATTAAGAGGTAATTAAGGGGAATCAAACAATTGCTCGTCAAAAACTATTATACTTTGATTGCAAGAGAATAGCGTTCAGGCACGTAGTACTCCGCGGTATTCATATAGAAACTATTCAATCTTTAAAAAGAAATTTATTTAGCGTTCTTCGTTTTTTTTGCGTAATTATTGGAAAGTTAATACAACGATTATTTGCCGAACCATGAGTTTGTTATTTGATAGAAACATAGAAAGGAATTTGTAGCTCAATTTTCATGAATTTTTTCAAGGCCTGGAGGATCGAAACAATAGAAAATATTGAAGAAATAAAAGATATATGCGCTCATYGTTATAACGCCGATAACAAAATTGAGCGGTTGGCAAACTGGCTTATGGCGATCGTTCATTTTCCAGCTACACGCAATACGATTCCAGATATATACATCATCCGAAAATCTGGATCCAGTTTACTACTCTATCTCACTGGTATATATTTTTTAGATAATTTTACGATAGAGTTTTTCAAAGTTCAGTTAAAAAGTCAAATATTGAAGTCAACTTGGCGATGATCTATTTCTACAAAGCAGGCAAGCAGGCAAGCAGGCAAGCAGGCAAGCAGGCAAGCAGGCAAGCAG